CGAAACGTGAGCTCAACTCATATAATTGTGGGAAAATTCTAGTACCAGTCCTTCATCACCTTACACGAAATAGGGTGAATACATCTCATTAGACTGATTTACTGGTAGTCTCCAAAACCCTACCAATTAGATTTAAGTTGTCATGGATTTATGAACCAGGTATATATGAAAGGCCAAATAAAGTGTATTTACGTGAACTCGTGCGTAATTTCATTCTGTGTGATGGATAAAAGTCACTTTTCGGCCAATAGTTGTATAACTAAAGGAGATTTACTTAAAAGAAAAATTGATAATATACTTTTTAGGTGAAGTCTATTCTGGTTTGAATCTTCGGCAAGTGGTTATAAAGCATGCAAAAAAAAGGCAAACAGGAAGAAGATCCAGAGAGGTTGGCTAACCAGGGTATTGGCTTCCGGATGGCAGAGTTCCGGTGCCATCCAGCCCAAAGTACCGAACGCCTGGAATGCACTGGTCTTATCGCTGTTGGTCGCACTGCAGACCACCTCTTCTGACTGGGAAGCATCTAGAGAATATTGGACGCTAACTCCAATGGAAGAGGGCTTCATTTGTTCATTAGGCGCTTTGCTGATTGAATTAGAGTCGGCAATTTGTTCTAAGTTTGTTTCTGCCAAATTAACGCAACCGAGCACTGTTTCTTGCAAACCTAAGGAACTTTTGGATGTGGCAGCCACAACCGGTCGGCCAATGAAATGAGGAATGAATACTCCACCCAAAGAATTAGTCGCCTCATTTCGACCTTCGGGCAATGGCCGAGAGAGACCAAAGTCACCGACTACAAGGCGAGCCTCGCCCGATCGCGGATTTGTCACGATAAGCACGTTGCTCGGCTTAAGATCACGGTGGACTGAAGTAAACAAGGTTGATGAAGGAGAAGTAAGAGGGCATATAAGAAGAGCAAGAAGCATGATAATATACTGTGAGAGTAGATTTAAAAAAGGTGGACTTGCATTCAGGTATTCCTATACAGTTCTTATAAAAGTCGGACTTATTGCATAAGCTCATACCTTGGTAGCTAGAAATACATGTGTAAAAACGCAGAATCAATTAGAAGCATATAAAAAATATTATGCATTATTTACTAAGCATTCAGAACTAGTGCATAATCAAAAAGATTATCGAAGTAGAGAGATTCGAGACAATCAGTAAAATTTGTATGATAACGTAATAAGGTGGTGGATAGCACTTAAATTAAGTCATCGAGATGCCATTAAATTTAAGCTAACATAGATCCACAAAAAGTTTTCTCATCCGAGCTGGACTAATTTTGCGGCCTCCCTTGGGTCGTATCAGCAACCAAAAAAAAAATTAGAAATCGAGTGATGCATGCCAAGAGGCGAAGTAATCCACCAGACAAAAAAGACGAGCGACAGTGGGTCATAGAGGCGATAGGATTCTCAAGAAAAGCCAGGTCTTCCACTTCGATGTTATAGTGGGACCGATGTCGATAAAGGTAACTTGTAATTGCGATTACAACCGACGGCATTATGATGAAGTGTCTCAACCAAGCGGTTTATATCCTTTGAATGCCACAGTATCTATTTCTTAAAAAAATGCGCCTTTTCATCTAGAGCTGTCTCATAACGTAGGTATGATCATCAACCAACACAGTCAAGTGGGACAGAATACAACATCTCATGCAGCAGGCCTTTACAATTAGATTTGCATTTTTGCACATAGACAAACTCAAGCATCTGTCCTGACATTTTTAAGACACCATAAGATGGCCCAAAGCATCATAAATTAATCTAAGCAAATTTTGATTCAACGTTTGACACTTGGTTGTCAGGTCTTAGAAATAACATGGATTTTGTCAAGCCTCAAAAGAAGTTATGCAAATTAAGATCACCTGGTAAATTTGTAATATTTTTTGAAAGAAAACCGAGCTTCGGCTTAATTTAAAGAACATATAATTATTTATTATTTGTATGGCAGAAAAATAAGATAGAATCATTCATGATAACTAAGTGTATTGAGAATATTTGTAATCAACCAAGGTAATAAGGTATGCATGCAAAAATATCATTGTGTCACACCAACAACCTAATAAATGCAGGTTATTTGATCCTAATCGAAGGCATTATGACCAGGCTGATATGGCATTTTGTATCATCGCGGTCTCCTTTCGTTATATAGAAGTTTTTTGACCTTGTTTTCTCAACTTGGTCATATTGGCAGGAAGACCTAGAGGAAAGCAGTTTGTCCGGAGTCCATAATATGCATGATCATTTCCAGAGTCGGATCATGGACTTGGTACATTTTAAGACATTTCGCTGGCATAGTCAGTAGGCCATGCCATTGTTAGTACGACGCTACAACTCGTCAAAGAGATAAATGAAGTCAATCATCTGACCAATTATTGGCCAAACAATTGTGACATCTCTCCTGCCCTAAGCTATTTACCTAATCTATATCATCGTGTCATCCCTTCAATACCACAATTTCTAACTTGTTTGTCTAAACCCACTAGAAACCTATTCACACTCCTCACTGGTTTCCACGTCCCTCCCACTGTGCCGGTAGTGTTGATCCAAGGCTACGGTTTAATCTGTAATCCTCCCTTCGGGTCATGTTAGAGTCCCTCTCTTGCTCCGTAGGATCCTTCCCTTATCTGCCTGTTCCAATAATTTTACTCTATCGCTGCCACCGTATCCGTGCTACTCAATGAGTTATATTCTACACTCTGTCTCAAGCCTTTGAAGGCGCGTATACACCAGCCTCACTGAGCAAGCCCCTAAAGTCTGGATTCTCATTTGGCATGACAGCCTAATTTGACGCTGCAGATTTCCTTATCATTTTGCGACATGTGCACCGAGGAAATATCTCGTAGCCAAGCCTTTACTTCATGGACCACGGCTATAAGCAAACTTATATATTAATAACTAACTAGAAATGGCCACCACCGTTTCTCTCGTTCTTCTATCCCTAAAGTCAGGTCTATGACTTTCTCTTGCGTGCCGACGCCCAAATGTGACGGTTCTACAGGTTCACTGTAGACGTCTTCTCTTGGTTTCCGATTGTTCCTCTCTGGTCTCCTTACAAATTATTTTCCCCAAATTAAAAATGTTACCTTTGTCCAGTCGTCTTCTTTTTACTGATATTGCTGTTCTCTAATCTTCTCCGAGTTTGCTTAGGCAGTATTCAAAGTTTTTGTTATCCTGTCTTCTTCAGGTCACCTATTCACTAAGTTTTTTTCAGTCAGGATATCAATAGCTTCTCGTACCTTGCGTTCTCTTGTATTTCCACCATATGCAGCCATCCTATTTGTCGATTTCCACTCGATTTCGTGTCCCGTTCGTGCGAGTTGTTCCACTATTTCGGTGTCCATGTTTCTGCAGAGAATTTGGTGTTCTAAGATTCGTAGGCTAATTTTTCTTCCTTTTTCACCAATATGCTTCTGCTCACAGTTGTTGCGTTCGATGTTATAGATTCCTGATTAATCCAGTTTGCCAACCTTCCCGTGTTGCGTCGGCGGATTTATGAAGAATGTTGCCTTTTCTTTTGTTATCACCTTAATATTCCATTTTCTTAGTAACGGTCACAATTGGTGACTTATTTGACAGGAGGGCAGGCACCGTAGTCGTCCTTTCGATTCCTGATATTATTTTCATAAAATCCTAGTTGAAATCTGCTCTTTATGACCCCTATATTTTTTTCTATAAATCCTCTGATCAAAGCCAAATAAGTTTCTCCGACTCCTCGTTCTAGAACTCAGTTCCAGTAGTCTTAAGCTTCTGATGATCATACTCTTCATTATTCTTACCTTCAGTCTGTAGTTGTAATGAGACTGGAAATTGAGGATTATTCCCTCATGTGTTTTCTTTCAGAATAGTAGCAAATGACCTTAATATCCAAGAAAGGTAGTCGTTTATCCTACTCCACCTCCATTCTGAATTTACTTCTTCCATCAAGTTGGTTTTTAAAATTGAGGAACTTATCCAAATTTATCTTAGCATGCGACCAAAGTGAAAAGTCGTTGTCCAGGTATCGCATAAGCACTCTTGGTTGCAGTGGTGACTTCTTTAATTTCTTCTCTAATCTTTCCATGTATAAATTTGCCAAAAAAGAGGTGAAAGTGGGGATCCCATCGGTAGTTCAAATATTTGCTCATAGATATTGCCTTTGAATTTAAAATTTGGTACTTACTGTCAAGTTAAAAATGGTGTTAATGACTCCTTCCTTATCCACTCTGCTTCCAGGATATCCTTCTCTCGTTCCAAGACCTCCACTAGTGCGGCGACTGCCGTCTAGCCCAAGATGTCTGTTTGCATGGATTGTACGTCAAAACTTACTAACATTTCCGTCCCTGCTAATCCAATATTTTGGAGAAATCTACAGATGGATGATGAATTTGTTAATATAAAATGATGCAAGACCACCGACAGCCTACGAACTACTGAAGATACACAAGGAAAACAACTAAGGATAATAATCAACAAAAAACATAGAGGAACAAATAAACAAGTGAGATTTATACGCTTGAACCTTAAGAAAGTAAACGATAGACTCTTGAACATCGTAAAGAATTCATATAAATTTTCTCAAAAAGTGGCAAAATATTGGACTGACAGGGACGGAAATGTTGATATATTTTAACGTACAATCTATTTACACACACATTTCAGGCGATAAGACAGTTATCTCCCTGCTGGAGGTCTTAGATCAGCACTCCCGGCACAGTGGGAGGGATGTGGAAACTAGTGGGGAGTGTGAATAGGTTTCAAATAGGTTTAGGTAAACAAGTAAGAAATTGTGATGTTGAAGGACTGATACGAGGATATAGGATAGATGAATAGCCCAGGACAGGAGAGATACCATAACTGTTTGGCGGACAATTAGTCAAGGGATCGATTTCACTTATCTCTTTGACGGGTTGTAGTCTAATTCTCAGACTGGCAAGGCTCACTGAGGAGGCTGACTACGATGTCGGCGAAACGTCTAAGAATGCACTACGTCAATGGTCCAAATATGGAAATGATCATGCCTACTATGGACTCCGGACTAGGTGAGTTACTCTATATCTTCCACCAATATGACCAAGTTGAGGAAACGTCAAACAACTTATATTGTGATGTATTCACCCTATTTCGTCTAAGGTGATGAAGGACTGCTACGAGCTATTCTAGGTCAAAACTCTAGTCCACCCTGGATGAGAACAACTTTTGGGAAAGCAAGGCTATGTGAAATTCAATGGAAACGTCAGCTC